TCCACCTGAACACCTGATGCAAGAAGAATCCCACCAACTCTGGGTTTCTGGCAGGCATGGGAGGGAGTCCCCTTCCAGCCCCAGGTCTACAGACCCAGAATGAGGTGTCTCACTGACTCAGCTGAATGCCTTCCCTCAGCAGAGGTAAAGGAGGTCCCTCCTGGTCACTGTCTTGGATTCCTGTCTAATGATGGGACATGCAGAGTTAAAACTTGGACTCAGACTGTTTGGAGAAATAACACAGCAGGAAAGAAGTGTCTCTCCCCATCTGAGAGAGGGAACCTCAGAGATGACTTCAGCCTATGTCACAGCAGGTTACCCTGGAGCCCCAGGGACACCTGCAGGGAGCCCCAAGGGGGCAGAGCAAGGGCTGCCTTGGGCTGGTCCTCTGCTCCTGAGCTGGGCTGGGCTCCTGGGATGGAGGGAGCTCATGGCAAGTGGGCAGCACTGCCGAGAGACAGCTCTGCCCAGGAGCAGCTCCTCTGCAAAGCACAGCAGGGCTGAGGGCACTGCCTGCAGGCACCGAGGGGAGAGGAGAGAAGTGAGAGAGCTGTTACAGGCTGTGCGGGGTGGGAGGACGCTGAGAGCTCACTGCTGGAGAAATCTACACCATTCTTAACACAGTAAGTCTCTGGTTGCAGGGCAATGCACATGAGTGTCTTGGAGGGGTCTCCTAGACAGGGCGCATCTTGCTGCAGCTAGGATCTGGCAGGATGGCTCTCAAGGTTTCTTTACTGTGGAGAAGGACCTGCTCCAAAATGGGGATACTCTGCCACACTGTCAGAGGACAGGACAAGATGGCTGCTTTCTCCCGGGGATGGCTGCAGGGTGTGAAGCCATTTGTGCAGGCAGGGGTGCCCAGGGCTGTCATTCAGAGCAGGGTCGGGGTTCTTCAGGGGGCTGTGTGCAGAGGCAGGGGCTCTGCTGCCTGCCAGGGTCAGCACTCAGCCTGCCTGGGGAGCTCCCCGCAGCGCTGCGGGGAGAAGCTGTGGGTGGAAGGAGTGATGCAGGGCAGGGCAGGGCAGGGTCGGGTCATCCTGCTTTCAGGAGTGTGCTTCATGGGTCAGGGCTGCTCACAGCTCGAGATCACCCCCAGGGCATTTCCAAGCTTTGAGTTTTCTACCCATGGTTGTCTGGGTGATGAATGACAATTTGGAATTCATCTTTCAGATTTGGATGGGGGTCTGAGACTCTTCAGCTGTTCTGCTGACAGGTGTAAAGGTTTTGGAGAAGCATCATAAACCCCAGCTTCCCTCTGCATCTGTTTACAGAGAGTTCCAGCATCACCTCTGTACTCTCTCCATGACCTTGCATCACTTTGCAGAGAATCATGCTGACACTACTTGTTCCCTTGCCCTCCTGTCCATGCTTCCCTTGCTCTTCCCCTCAGCTGGCTGGGGAGTGGGGTTTCAGCTGCTGCTCAGACACTGTCCCTGTGGCTCCTGTCATCCAGATCTGCACTCATAAGTGAATTCCCTTTTCTCCACTCTTCCCTGTTTCTCTTGGAGGATAATATACAAGTGTGAACATGCTGCAGGTCGAGGAGGTGCAAGCACAAAAAAGCCATGGAAAAAGCTGATGGACAGACCACATCCACTCACTGGGCACTAAGCTGTAGCCAATCCTTTGCCTCTCCCGAGCTATACGCTGAGTGCAGTAAAAATGCTGAGTAATTTTCCCCCAAAAGAACACTCCCCTCATCTGACCTAACATCTGAGTAAGAAAACTTCATCCTCACCCATCTCCACTGTAGGACAGGACTGTGTCCTCTGGAGTGCACAGCAGAGACCCAGCTTGTCCCACACACTCAACAATCAAAGGAGCTCTAGAAAGGAGCTGAATGAAAGTAGTCCCAAAGAATAAGACGATTGGAGCATTTCTGTGAGAAACAGTGAGTTTTCTTTCAAGATGTTTGTCTTAAGCTCTTGGTGATCTCTCTTCCTTGGACAGGTTCCCATGCCTAGAGAGAGAGAATGTCCAACAGTAGCTCCATCACGGAGTTCCTCCTCCTGGCGTTTGCAGACACATGGGAGCTGCAGCTCTTGCACTTCTGGCTCTTCCTGGGCATCTACCTGGCTGCCCTCCTGGGCAACGGCCTCATCATTGCAGCTGTAGCCTGTGACCACCGCCTCCACACCCCCATGTACTTCTTCCTCTTCAACCTCTCCCTCCTTGACCTGGGCTCCATCAGCACCATTGTCCCTAAATCCATGGCCAATTCCCTGTTGGATACCAGGGCCATCTCCTTCTTTGGGTGCGCTACTCAAACCTTTTGGTTCCTCTTTTTAGTTGTAGCAGAGTATTCCCTTCTCACTGTCATGGCCTATGACCGCTATGTTGCCATCTGCAAACCCCTGCACTACGGGACCCTCCTGGGCAGCAGAGCTTGTGTCCACATGGCAGCAGCTGCCTGGGGCTCTGGGTTTCTCTATGCTGTGCTGCACACAGCCAATACATTTTCCCTACCCCTCTGCCATGGAAATGCTGTGGACCAGTTCTTCTGTGAAATACCTAAGATTCTCAAGCTCTCCTGCTCAGGCTCCTACCTTAAGGAAGTTCGGCTCATTGTGGCTGGTGTCTGTTTATTCTCTGGGTGTTTTGTTTTCATTGTGCTGTCCTATGTGCAGATCTTCAGGGCCGTGCTGAGGATCCCCTCTCAGCAGGGACAGCACAAAGCCTTTTCCACGTGCCTCCCTCACCTGGCTGTGGTCTCTCTGTTCGTCACCACAGGAATGTTTGCCTACCTGCATCCCCCCTCCATCTCCTCCCCATGCCTGGATCTGGTGATGGCAGTGCTGTACTCAGTTCTGCCTCCGACAGTGAACCCCCTCATCTATAGTGTCAGGAACCAGGAGCTCAAAGATGCCCTGAAGAAACAGATCAGGCATTTTTCAGCAGCCATAGACTGTGTACCTTCCTCTGCAAATGACTCCCAGTGTACGTCATGACAGTTCAAGCCTTTCTTTCCTTATTTTTTTCTCTTTTATTTTCTTTCTTTTTCCACTTGTGATGATGTTGTCTGCAAGGCAATGTCATTTTTCATGCCTTCCTTCTTCAGTGTCTACCCATCCTGTGTGACCAGAGGGTTTGTGTATACAAGGGTGTTTTTATGTAAAATAAATGAACCAGCAGTATCTTCTTTTTCTGAGATCTGTCTTCAGCAGGTGAGGCAGCAGTATCTTCTTTTTCTGAGATCTGTCTTCAGCAGGGCAGGCATGAATGAGAAATGGAAATACCTTTGTGACTGTTCCAGCTTGGGGCAGGCTACTCTGTCTCTGGGGAAGCAGGAGCAGCCAGGGGAGCCTCAGGGCTGGGGTCTTGTGCTGATCTGGGGAGAGGGGATGGTGTGGAGGGGTTGCAGATATCTCAGGACCTTCTGGAGAGGAGAGAAGGGGACATGGGTTGCCACTGACATTTTTTGCCTTGCCAGTAGAGGGGCTACCTGGAAGGGAAGGAACCTGTGCTTTCAGTGTCCTGCTCTTGTTTGTCTGGGTGGGGAATTGGATGTGAAACTTAAACTCTAGGTTCCGGAGGAGGCAAACTCCAAATCTTTTCCACTTAGAGATGAATATATTTGGTGTATCAGAAATGACAACCCCACACCTGCAGACAGCCAGAGACGCCCCTGGTCAGTGTTCTGCTGCTGTGAGGTGTCTGCAGGAAGGAGCTGAGAACACAGTGGATGTATGGGGTCTGTGAGCACCGTCAGGGAGGAGGTGTGGGGGCAGGGGAAGAGCTCCTGGCAGGGACAGCTCCAGGCAGCAGAGACATGGGCAGGGGCTGAGGCAGAACTTCTACCAGAAGTGCCATGGGAGGGGAATTTGGGCACCTCCCTGCCATCCCTTTCACTGCAGATGCCTTTGCCAGAGCAGCTTCTGGTCTCCGCTTCCTCCCAGTAGAGCTTCTGCCCTCAAGGCT